TACATGAACACTCGTTATAACGAGTGTTTACCAACATCTTGACCACCATATAAGTAGGTTAGCAACTATATTAAGATTCAATTTAAAATGAGTTTAAAGTGAGGGTTAATAAATTTGCCAATTGAATGGTAACCTCTAAAATACCATTAATATGAAATTATAATGTACTTCCTCGTTAGGCATCGAAAGCTATATTAGCTATGTACGATGGACACGCGGCGAGCAACCAACACACGACAACTTTCCCTTCTATAATGGAAAAACAGCATTAAACGGACGGTCTTACGGATAAAACTTGAGAGGCACATCAACCGTACCATACCGGCTTGACAACAATTTATTTAGTCGAAGTGTTGACAACAAATCCGATAAAACGTTATTGCAAGATAAAACACAATAGTCTTTGAAGAACGCTGGGCTATTTTAAACTAGTTCGAGAAGAACACATATATTTTTGATAGGGATTTATTTACGAATACAGAGTAAGATTTATTGAATAATTGAAGATAAAAATATTGAGGAGTATTAAATGGTGTTAATCGAAAGAAGCAAAACCTCAGTAATATAGATGGCAACTGAAGTATGTTTCTGTTGTAATGATCGCTGCAGTGTCCTCAATGGTCGAATGACGCTTGCGCAAAGGTCGTTTGTTCAAATTGCTTCTATTAACTTAATTTAGGTAAGCAGAAGTGGGCCAAATTCTATAGTCGAATGTTTATAATAAGAGTTAAAATTCAATCACACTTATGGCAACTAGCGGATTGGAAAGTGAAAGCTTGAGAATTTGAGAATAAACGCTAGAAACTTTTTTTTTATAAATAATAGTTACGATTAAGAATCGGCTGTATAAATTTTGCCTCATTTAATATTCGAATTATCTAGAAATATTATATAACGGTGAGATTGTAGTTGAAATGATATTCAGAAGTATGTAAATATAACGATTACGACATTACGTTATCTACCTGCAATTAGCCGATAAATATAAGTCATATCAGAAGTAGATTAATACGACACACATCGACAAATTCAATGACATGACCATCTGAATTCGTCTAGTTTTTACGGCCTTAATCTCACGGCCAAGCAAGCCAGTGGTGTCCACTGGGGCCCGCTAGCTAGCGCACGCGCATTCGAAGTGAAAGTGAAATAGCGCGCACGTACGGCTCGCAGCCCCAATAAGACGACACCGCCGTCGTCCGCATACTTCAGCAATTATCACGAGGAAATCAGAGACAATCCGCCGAAGATTATGTTTTGAACCAAACCAAAAACAATACTCACTGCCAACGAATAGGACTGCCTTCACCTTAATGAACCTCATCTTTGCTAGAAAGAAACCCAGCTAAACCATTATTTAAAAAAAAACGACAATAGTGTCATACTATATATTAAAAGCATCATTTAAATATTTTGTATTTTGAATAGATGCAGTATTTATATATCGATACACTATGAAAACCCTGACCCCATGGCCAACATATCGTAGGTCACGAAGACCTTAATAGTGACTGTAAAAAGGCTCTTCCAGATTTGTTCCGGCAATCACTATCGTGCTTTACACGATTCAAAATGTTGTATGATAATAACTTATTTGATGTATATGTTGTCAAACAAATAGATTTGTATTTAGATTTGAATACCGATCAAGTACCTATTTGATATTGAAATGTATAACATTGAATAACATAAAAAATTAATGTTTAACATTTCGGGGTGTCAAAACTAAAACTAGCAATATAGATCAGTTGGAGGATTTGATGACGTAAATTGGATTTTAGAACAATCAAGGAATACCATCTGAAACGGCTGATGACATCAACAATACAATTAATATCAAGCAGACGTTTCATGTACCGCCGTAAATTACAATTTGGGTTTCATAGTATTTATTTACTTAATAAGCATGTCACATTACTTTTTGATACTTATAGCTTCAGACGGGTAGATAAGTTGATATTTTTAAGTAAATTAACTTTTATAAAGCTTTCGGTTTATAATTTCTTCTTAATAAACACTTAACAATTATGACTGTTACAGGCATATTTATAATTGAATCGAATATTTAAAAGAGTATAACAAAACAAGTTAAGGGACAGAGGATAGCGCGGGTAAAACTGTTATGATTGTTTGACTCATACATTCATAAATTTTCCCTATAAGAAAATTACAACAAGAAATGGACAAAACGGAAAATTTTCGAAGTAAAAATGCTGTTATAAATTTACGTTTTGGCTGTGACAGAACCCTAAGAAGAAGGAATTGAGAATTTAAACTTAATAGAAGCTAAAGCCCTTATGTAATAGAACGTTTCGTACGATACCACAACCACCCCATTAGAAAAGCGTCTCAAACTGTACTTAAACAGGTTTTCGTTTCTGATTTTGGTTTTTTCAATGATCAGCAGTTTGACAAAACTAGGACTTATTGCCCTGTAAAACGTAAAAAAAACTAAGTTTCTGAGAATAATTACTTAAGATTGTGTACTTTTAGAAATCGGCTTATAGTTTTACAATAACAGCTTATTTGATGTTATACCTTTGTACAAAATCAAATGAAACCAAGAGATTCTTGGTGTATTCGCCTTATAACACCTATTTCCTCAATCAATGTTTGCTATCGGTAGGATGATTAGTAGCAGATACATTGTTATTATTCAGTTTACCACTCATCACCGTAGACTTATTATTCAGAATAAGACTATACAAAACTTATATCAGAACATTCAATTATGGTTTGCAAATTTTCTCGCGTGTAAACAATAGGCCGAATGTATGAGATCTCTATGAACTGTGGAGGTTTTACGAACAGACTGTCCTTGTAGCTAGTGTAAACACTATTGTTCAATCACGTGGCTGCAGCCATTATAATTTGATAAAAGGTTTAACGTCAGCAGAAACTGTAACAAAGTCATCAGCAATAATACTTATTTCTACAGCAAACTTCGTGGTATTTTTTTTACATCAAAATTAAATGCAAAAATTAAATGAAACCACTTTAAAATGTATAAATATGAATTGTTTTTAATTGAGGGACACCTTAGTTGTGTACTCAATAGAACGATTGGAAATCATAAACCTTGTATTAGAGACAATACTAGTATAATTAAAGTTTATTAGAAATATTTTGTTTCCAGCTAAACATAGAAATTAAATCTTGGCTAGTGCTACCGCGTATCCAATATTCGCTAGTGATTCAATATTTACCATGTTAGAACCCTCATTAAAAATATAATCACTAAAGTAACAAAGTTTATCCAAGAGAAATGTTTAATCGAATCCTGTTTGCAAGGATTGCAATGTTCTTTAGACCGTTGGTGAAGGTAATAAAGTGTCTCTGGAGGACAACGACCTGACCGACTCAATTTGTGGCCAATGTACTTGTACTTCGATGTATAAATAATATAGACAGAACATGGCACAATAGTTACAGATGAATCATTAGATGGTGCAGACAACAATTGTTACGGTAACATTACAGAACAGTTTTAGTTATAGTTAAATTGAACTGATTCTTAATGTGCATGTGTATTGAACGTCAAGTGGCGCAAAGGGGACAACGCACCTGGGAGGTGCAATGCATCCTCACTAGCGACTGGAACGGTTGCTATTTTTACATCGTCCACTCTATCTTATTTACTATTCTGGTCCGCGACTCATTGAATTGTGGTTATTATGTGCAAGTTGGATACGTGCCAGAACTCTCAAGCCCAACACACCGATAGTGAGATATTCAAAGAATGATACGATAGTTTAAGAGATTCAGAAAAGAGTATCACTGATGTATTCTCGGCGTAGTTCGGAAAAAAAGAAACACAAAGCCAAGGTTGACATAATCTTGGATGTGTATTAAATTATTGACAAGCCTGGTATATGTTACGTTGGAGTATTACAAATTAAGTCTTTCCTATATGTAAAAATGGTTCATATAAACATTAAACGGCGTCAACGAGGTCGTTTACATATGATATGGACAAGTCCCTCCCGACGAACAACAAGAGACCACGACAAACCGGCAACGAGAAGAGCAGTGGTTACTAGTAAACCGGTCGGCGGCGCCTGACTCCGGGCGCGCCGGGCAGGGGATTCTAACTTTGTAAACAAATTCGTTTGTTCTTTTGTTGTTGCCATTATAAAATTAATGTTATAATGTCGTTGTTTTGATATATCGAACGGGAATTGATACTAATTTGAAAGAATACAATCTGGATATATTCAGAGGACATTGACTTTCATTCAGTACTTAAAACTTAAGACCGCCAGAGCACAATCTCATTTATTTTTATATTTCTCAAAAAATTATACAATAACGATAAATTTCCAAACGCATACTCTATATAAAAGCTACATTTTAGGATAAAAAGTTTACAATGAGTGTTCCGACAAATAGCAAAACGAAATCTGCTAAGTGGGTCATCATATAATTTCGCAAGCGTATCGAGTGCCGCGAGCGTGAACTGGTGCTAGAGGCAAGTCAAGGCAAGGTGAACCTCGCTCCTGCGGCTTGACAAAATAAAGTCTTCCTCAAACGAGTCATCCGATGAAATAATCTATATTGTTTACAATCAGTACTTTAGTAATTATCAATAAATAAATAAATTTTAAAGAAATGACAACCTAAAAATATAACCTAATTATAAACATAACAAAAAAACAAACGTACAAATTTATTGTAGACCATGGACTAGTTCGAGTGGACTAGATTAATATGCAATTGTTGATTGGTAAATTGTACTTTCTTTGTGTTTGTTACACGAGGCGTCTGAATAAATATTAGTGACCAAAAAAATACAATTCAACTTTTACGCCAGTGTCAGTTGTTGAAATTATTAGACGCCAATCACATCTCGATGATGTAAGCGCTGTATGCAAACGGCAAATAAAGGTCAGACTCACAACATCATAATAGTTCTTTCGTTATATGCATCTGTAGAAGTAGGTTATAATTGTAAAATCATACACGATAAGAAATTAAGGTCAACAATAACTTTTAAAACTTACCCCTTCATTTCCAGGTAGGAACTGTATTTTAGGTTTAACCAATTTGTCCTGAAACAAAAAGAAAAAACACAATTAATAAGTGATTTATTAAACAAGTAATTTCGTCAATTGATTTTGGTGTTAATTTGCTTTAAATTTAAGTTTTTTAATTAGGTTAAACACATTTTTACGCTATTTGACTAAACAAATTAATTTATCGTAGAAAAATACTTGAAATATGTTTTTACATTAATCAGACGTGTTTTTTCTAGGACTATTAATATAGTAATATGGAAAAAACCTCAAAACTAATAATTAATCTAAATATTATTAGACATAATCAAATTACAATTCATATTAAATACAACACTTAATTTTGGAGGTTCTAAATACAGTTTGTTTACAGTCAAAGAACTTTATAGACAGAGTGGAAAGTGAAAATTAATTGTCGTTAGTATTCACCTCGAATCAAAAAACTTTTGAATTTGATTACATTACAATTTTTAACTTACTTAAATATTATTCAAGTTTACATTTCAAGTTCAAAAGATAAAATATTTCTTATAGCGGGTCACCTTGAGTGATTCTAATAACAAGTCAATAGAAAAAATCCCCATGTTTATAATTATTTTCAAAGATATTAAAATTGATAATTTAATGTTATTATTATTCGGTCTTCATTACGTATAATATACTTTAACCACAGGTTAAGTGACGCATAAAAATTACACTGGAATTTACTGTAAATGTAGGAAAACGAATGTTACGTCAAAACATATAATAGTAAATAGGTAAGTGCAAAAGCATGACAATGTGTGAATCATTGTTACGAGGTAATTGGGATGACGACTAATTTTTGTTTGATTCTCCGTCAGGTAAGATTGTTGAAATATATTAAACAGGGATTATATTTTTTTCGTTTTAATTAAATTACGGTGATAAATTGAGTTAAATGTTACATGACGTCACGCTTTTGTACAATTTCTACAAATCTCTGACGTAGCAAGCCCCGCTCCTCAAGTTTAACGCCTCTTATCTAAGCTATTTCTGATTAAATTGGAGAAAAAAAAACTAATATGTTGTTATTATCTAACTGACGGACTAAATAGATTTTCTTTATTTTACACAGTCGTCATCCCTATTTTATAAAAAAAAATTAAGGGCGCATTCTATAAGTAAAACAAAAATCCGAAGTAGTGGATTTTATTACATTAAACTATAAAAACTATAGATATTTTTGTAGGTTTCTTTTGTAACCTGTAGAGCTAAAGAAGACTTTTTTTATATTTTTTTCTTTCAATATTACAGGCTCATTAATATTATTAAATGTTAATTTTTGATTAAAATTATAGGGTTTGTATAAATGACAAAGATATTAACGGTTTTTAAAATGCACTATTCTCAAAAACTGCAAACTATGTCTCGTTCAACGAAAAAGTTAGAGGGATCCACTTTGGAAGTGTCTATATTTTAAACAGTTGATTTTAAGAAATAATGGTTGTAGATACACTTCTTTGGTGCTAGGTATCTCAATTTTGAAAGACCTATATATACATTGTATGTAAAATTTATAAATTTTTAGCTGCGACTTAATCCTTAAAACTACGATGTTGTTTTCCGATTTTCAAATTACAGTTTATTCGGACTTTATTATTAACACGTTACAACTAGTGTTCTACCAAAAACGTTATTGGTACAACACTAGTTGAAAGTTAGTAATTTTGGGTGTCAGATAGAGGTGACACCCAAAATCAGTAAGAGAGAGAGATTAATTACTACTAAATTCTTCAACTTATAATAACTAATAATGTATAAAAATCGGGTTAGTTAGCAAAGCTCACACACCATAATCACATTTAGTAATACAAGAGAGGGAAATAAAGGTTTGCGGAAGTCGATGTATGATTGGGACAGGTTTTTTTTACACGTACTAATCGGTACTCATTGAGGACTTTAAAAGTAAATTTCATTTAAATTATGCCATTATTCACTAAGACAATTCAAATCAAGCCGAAAGATAAATTGCAACATAGGGAAAACTTAGTGTCGCGCTATCGTATCTTACCAAGTGAAGAAAACCTCAGACTATTTCGGAATAAAAATAAAATTATGAAGCGCGTTATTTCAATCATTTCGTCAGTAAAAGCTATTTCGGCAGATATTAGTAATTGTTTCAATAAGTAATATTACTGTAGAATCATCGCTCAGGACAAGGACCTAACTAAAAACGCGTCTTAAGCGGGAAAGGGAACATAAAAGTTAATACCTGCGTAGGTTGTACTTATTCGGTTTGGGTAATGTATGTATTATAAATGTAAGTTACACATTAAATTTATACTTTGTAAAAACGATTATTTCAACTGTGTAGCGGAATTGCCTGAGAGTTGACGAAAATACGCTAACTAGAAGCGAAAGTAAAGTGTATTTAAAAAATACGTCAGTCCCGCTAGGTTTCCAGGTAGCACAAGTTGGTTAGAGCAGCCGCCCGGATGGCGAATTGTGATGGGTTCGGATTCAAGCATTTCTTGCCTTGAATATTTTGTTATTCAGTTTAACAACTCAGTTTCATATTATAACTTCGAGGGTATCTTGTTATACTAATGGCGTGTTAAATTTTATTATTGGCCACTGACATATATTAAGATAGACGATTTTCTAAAAAAAAACAAAGTAGTCGTACAAATGATTCGTAGTAATTAAACGACAAGTAGCCAAACTAGTTGGGAAACTAGTCGAGCTGGCCACAATAAGCAAGTGTCGGCAAGTCGTATAGTTGCACAACTGGCGATGGTCGAACGCGAGAAACATAACTAGGCTGGGCGTCGGCAGCGCTGATGATGTAAACTTAAAAATTGCTTTAGTTACTTACTTAACCACAGAGCTCAATGTGAAATTCACCAAGTTGCATAGACGTCTAGACGAGGTGATGAGAGGGGATGACCCGGAACTGGACCATGGCCATGACTTTTTAAGTTTGTTTAACAAAAATCAAGTTTCACGTCAATTCGTATTGAGCATTCAATAAATAGTTATCAAAAAACCTAATAAGTGAAATCAAAATGTGTTTCATAAAAGGCTTAGGCAAACCAGAAATTGTAATTAATCGCGAATGCGAAACCAGTTTCAGGCGGCAAGGTCATATTTGTATAATTGTTTCACATTTTATTATATAAAAACGACTCCCACTATTCTTAATATAAATGTAATGAAAGTTACTCGATGGTTTATGTAACACAGTCCTAATACGATTATATAACTTAATATCCATCGCATGAGATATCATTGTAAATTCCAACCTTTTCAATACTTAAAAATTTAAATCAAATTCGAGCATACCTTTTTAAAGTCTTCATCAAAGCATACGCTTAATCATTATCATATAGACTCTTACCACCATTTGCACAAAGTCATTAGTTTAAAGAGACATTACCCATAGAAATTCGTTATTCATTAGAGCTTAAAGGCGTCGTTAAACCTTAACGGACGTTTGTGCAACTGAGCATTGGTATGTTAAATATTGCCATGATGTTTGTTGAACTATCTGTTGAGGTTCAAATCGCCCCAAACATCTTATTCCCTGTATTAACTCGTTCGAGTGGCCATATTATTTTTATATAAAAAAATAAATACAAAAGTAATTTCGGCCTTGCGTTGAATTGCTACGTTGTACAGAGTGAGGCAATAAAATACCTGCACAATATGACCTTAGCAGAATATGCTGGTGACCTTTGAGCAAAGCAAAAAGCTTTTACAAGCTTACGACTTAGACTTTAAGAGTGAAAGAAGCCGATCTACTACATATGTACGTACATACGTGCAACGCGTGGCTCTTGGTAGCAATTATAATAATAACATGATGAGGATTCAATTTACAATAGATCGCGTGTCGTTACCGGGCAGTGTTGATTTCCACTTTACTGTTTGTAGATGCCATTAACAGTGTCAATGAATTTTCTTTTCTATTATTCAACTGTCTGTGGTCGTGTTACCGTGTACAATAGGGAGGCTGGCGTAGAGGCTATTTAAAGTAACGTATTCAAAAGTTCAAGTTAAAACGATGTTTACATTGAGAAAAAAAAAATCGTGTTTTTAAGAATAGGTCAGTTCAAGGTTCCACTAAAAGTACTCGCACAGTACAACTTGGAAAGATAGGAGAGCTTTGGATTTAGGCGGCGAGTATTTGTTTAATGAGACAATTCTTATTTAAGTATATCTAATAACACAATCGTTGACAAGTTAGTTAGTATTTTCTTTCTTATTCAGACTATTGCGAATAATGTCTAACAACTGATACCAAAATATTAATGAATTGTTTGCAACGTATTTTTGCTTGATCGACTGCCGACTTATTCGTAGGAAAGCAATGTTCAGGGCCATTTAAATTTCATAAGCTATTTTTCGTTTAAATTTTATTTCCCAAAATACTTCTGTTGATTTTGAAGACTTACACTTATGTAATTTCTAAACAATCAACGTTCTTGTATATTAAAATGAACCGAAATTTAGCATCTTTCAAAAACTTTCAAATTTAAGATGGAAAGTTTTCAATAGAACAGAAGACTTCTAAGTTAATTAATACCGCCCCTTCTGAAAAATGTAATAGGGCAAATACAATAGAAATACTAGCAACATTAAATTACTTACAAGTTGCAAATTTGCATTTTTATAGTTTCAGAGCAATTAATGACATAACTGCAACATAATTTGGATATGGCAATCTTTGAACTGTACAACACGGCGATTGCATGCAGAATGCATGTTAATTTTGATAACAATGAGAAAAAAATATCAATTTAAAGTAATGTATTTATTTATTTTAATGGGTACATATAATATATGTATATTATACCGATATCAACGATATTGTCATACTTATTTAAACAATACATATTGACATTGTATAGGCTACTTTTTCGCACTTTACTTTATTATTTTTAGATAGAATAGGTTTGAACCTATTCTATGAATGATAGTTTTTTATGTTATGTATATCTATAAAAAAAAAGTGTAAAAATTGTCTCACTACGATAGAACTAATAAAAATCTAAATACTATCGATCGATAGTGAA